GGGGGGGGGGATGTTAGGGGGGTTTTTGTGGGAAATTTTGTCAGCTACAAAAAAGGTTTTTTGACATTTTTGCGTGCGATTGATGATTTCGGGAGTAATTTGCGAAATTGTAAAGAGGGAGGTGATTTTGGAGGTGAAACAAAAATGTCGATTTTTTCGTTTTGGTATTTTGTCAATTATCTCGGTGGTCATTGATTTTAGGAAAAAATGTCAGAGGACTTTTTTGTTGGAAATTTTCTCAGCTAGAAAAAAGGTTCTGTGACATTTCTTCGTAAAACCATTGGTTTGTGAGATAACTGGAAAAATGTGGAAGAGGGTTTGATCGTTTTAGTAGTGGGGATAAATTTTCGATTTTGCCATTCTCATATTTTGTCAATTACCTCGTTAGCTATTGATTTTAGAAGAAAATGTCAGGGAACTTTTTTGTCGGAACATTCCTCAGCTACAAAAAATGTCCTCTAACATTTTTCTCTAGAATTGACTGTTTCGGAGATAATTGAGGAAATAGCCAAGACGTTTTGCTTAACTTTGGAATTGGAGAATAGTCGCTTTTTTAATTTTTAAAAAACAAAATAACTAAAACGTAAAAATAAACAAGTGGCCCTGGGATGATGTCGATGCTGGCAACATCGGAATAAAATATATTTTCCTTGGGAAATATGGAAATCATGCATGAACAAGTTCTAATTACAATTTCTCCTCGCACAGTGGAATTTTTATTCACGTAATCCCGGAATTCTGATGTTACGAGTATAATTATGGTGATGATTTCGCAGTGTGTGCAATGGGGAGGATGATCACTGTGATTACAAGCTGAGTCCGAGGTTTCTGATCAATGGAAAGAGTCCTGGACCTGCGATCGAGGTAAAAACCTTGAAAAATTGATCTCCCCCATCAAATATCGCCGCAAATAACGGATTTAGAAGGAAAAGTGACAAGAACTTTTAGCAAGAACTTTCAATTCTCTACAAATTGTTTCCCCAACATTTTCCCCTGAATCCATTAGTTCTCGAGATATTCGCGAAATTAGATGAATGGCAAATTTAATTGTTCTTCTCTTTTCTTGTTTTAATGAGGAAATGAGCTAGCTGATTAATTAGAACGACTCGTGATTGATTGGGCGGTGATTTTGAACGGTTTTAGGTGTGTCTTGGAGACACAGTGGAAGTGATAGTCCACAACAGGCTCAAGTCCCAGGAACTGTCGTTCCACTGGAATGGAATTCACCAGGAGTCGTCTGTGCACATGGACGGCGTGCCAATGGTCACCCAGTGTCCCATATTACCTTTCACGAGCTTTCGATATCACCTGAAACCCTCGAGATCGGGGACATTCTTTTATCACGCACACTCAGGTATCAAAGGCCCAGACAAACCCCTCAAATCGCGGAAACTATGAACTGCAGTTCTTGTTAACTGGGGATTTATCTCGGAGACTGTTGACTTTAGGGAAAAATGTGCCAGAATATTTTTTGTGAGGGAGAAAATTTGCTACAAAAATTCCTAGTGATATTTTCGCCTAGAATCAACAGTCACTGAGATAATTGACAAAATAATGGAATGAAAAAATTAGGAATTTGGCGTTTCACTCCCAGAATTAATGAAAACCTCTTTGTTATTTTTTCAATTTATCTCAGAAACCAATAGTTTTACGAAGAAATGTCACATGGCATTTTTTGCAGCTGAGGAAATTTCCAACAAAAAATGTTTGTGACATTTTCTTCTAAAATCGATAACCCCGGAGATAATTAACAAGACAACAAAATGGAAAAATCTGCAATTGATCCTCACTTCCAAAACGATCAAAAACTTGTTTGTTATTTTTTACATTTATCTCAGAAACCAATAGTTTTACGAAGAAATGTTATATGACATTTTTTGCAGCTGAGGAAATTTCCAACAAAAAACGTCCCCTGACATTTTCTCCTAAAACCAGAAATAACGTTTTAATTCCTCCTTGAATGAAAAAAAGATCGAATCCCATTCCAGTGAAACCATCACTTCACAAAGAATTTTATCAGTTCTTCAGCAGGGAGATGGTCTCTTCGGGTCACTGACTGTCCGAGGTCCTGGGGAGGACGTGACCCTCGAGAAAATTCTCATGATATCTTCGAGGCCGTCGAGATCGTTCACTTCAATCGACGTGAAACCCCCCGAGGCTGTCGAACTACTCGTAAACGGAAAAGTAATCATCCGCCAATGACTCGTAATCACCATAATAATGATGAATAATAACATTTCGTGCATCAGATACCGGGGGAAGACAGTGGAATTATTTTTCGGGAATTTTCAGAGAGAGGAAGACATCAGAGTGGAGCAGAATCGAAAGTATCACTTCCGCGTAATCAACGCAAACGCTTTAAACTGTCCAATTTCGTTCTCTGTGGCTGATCATGACCTCGAGATAATTAGTGCAGACAGCAATGCAGTCGCTCATATCGCTGGAAAGCGCGTGATATTGTTCCCAGGTGAGCGATAATTGCCGTAATCACTTCAATCGCCTTTTTGTTCATTAAATCGAAATGAAGGAGTTTCTTCTCGTGGGTATATCCCCGGAAGGGAGAGAATTAGAGGAAAACATCAGAGGAATTTTTTGTGGGGAATTTGATTTCCTACAGAAAATGTTTTATGATGTTTTTCTCTAAATCTAGTAGTTTTAGAGATTTTTTCATTTGAAAGATGACATCTCGATTTTTTCAACAAATTCAGGGATTACCAAATGCTTATTTTGATTCTGAATTTCTTCTCAGGGAAAAGATCTAGCAAAAAATGTCACAAAACATTTTTTACGGAGAATTTAATTTTCTACAAAAAATTTATTTAGCATTTTTGTCTAATTCCTCTGGTTTTTCAGATATTTGTCTTTTAGAAAAACGTTTCGATCGTTTCAACAAACTTCGGGAATTACCAAATGCTTATTTTGATTTTAAAAATCTTCTAAGGGAAAGAATCTAGCGCAAAATGTCACAAAACATTTTTTACAGAGAATTTAATTTCCTACAAAAAATTCCTTTGACATTTTTGTCTAAATCCCTTGGTTTTTGAGATATTTCTCCTTTTAAAACACGTTTCGATCATTTCAACAAATTTTGGCAATTCCCAATAGTTGACTTTAATTCAAAAAAGCATCCAAGGGAGAGGATCTATCAAAAAAACTCACAAGGCACTTTCTCCAGAGAATTTAATTCCCCGCAAAAAATCTTTTTCGACATTTCTCCCTAAACCCACTAGTTCTCAAGATATTCCGATATTTCCCCTAAAAAAAGACATCTCCATCTCCACGAATTTTCAAAATTCCCAGCTTAACAACATCGCGTTTCCCCTCTAAAATTGCCTCTCAAAAACAATTCCCCTGAATTCCCGCAAAAGTCCCCTCCAAACCCTCCACAATCCCCTCAAATCTCAAATGGCCATCTCCCAAATTACCTCTCCCCCAACAATTAATAAACCCCATTACCCCTCCCCCTCCCTCACCCAACAAAGAGACCTCAAGGTCCACCTCTCTCCTTGACAATTCCCACATCGCAAAACCCATTCACCTAAAAAAACCCGAAAACCCCGAATACGAAGAGTGGGGACGCGCGACTCCAATCAAATATTTCCGGGGCGCCCGTTGTCGCGCAAACTCGTGTGTCTTCGGCTCTCTCCCATGATATCCCGAGGGCGAAAAGGGACACGAAGAAAGAAAGAAGCGTCACAAGCGAAAAATCGTTAAAACACGCGTTCTCGAGGTCCAAACAACTAGCAAAAATTCGGCTCGCGTTGAATCGGCTCCCAAAAGGTCCAAAAAACCGTGAAAAAAAATTATTTTCGTGAAACAGTGACACCTTGTGGCCCCACGTGGGTGTGTGAATCCGCCGATCCGGTGAAATAAGTGATGTACACGAGTGAAAGTGGAAAAATGCTCAAGTCCGAGTCGCTGAGGGAGATGGAGTGGACGAGGGACAAGACGCTGGAGCTGTTGCGTGAGTACCAGGCGAGGACAGTCCTCTGGGACTGGAATGCACGTGGCTACAGGGACAGGACCAAGAGAAAATGCGCCATTCAGGAGTTGGCGGATCTCCTGGGGTGCAACACCCTGGAGGTCGAGAAGAAGGTGACGAACCTCAAGTGCCAGTACTCGAGGGAGGTCCACAAGATCCAGACGAGCAAGAAGAATGCCAGGGGACCCGAGGATGTTTACGTGTCCAAGTGGTTTGCCTTCAAGGCCATGCAGTTTCTGCAGTTCGGGAGCAGGCGGTACAGCTCCAAAAAGGAGGTAAATAACATTTTTAGGGGGTTTGAAGGTTAGGGGGGGCATCTTTAATTCGCCCATCGAAACGTTCATTTAATGTTAATTCTTGTTAATGTTAAGAATTAAGAATAGGGGTTGTTGTTGTTGGGGTTTGTTTGTTGGTTCATTTGTTTTTGGAGCTCCAGGAAGATAAATAACATTTTTTTAGGGGGTTTGGAGGTTAGGGGGATTAGGGGTTAAGGGGGGCATCTTTAATTCGCCCACCGAAACGTTAATTTAAGGTTAATTCTTGATAATGTTAAGAATTAAGAATAGGGGTTGTTGTTGTTGGGGTTTGTTTGTTGGTTAATTTGTTTTTGGAGCTCCAGGAAGATAAATAACATTTTTTTAGGGGGTTTGGAGGTTGGGGGGATTAGGGGTTAAGGGGGGCATCTTTAATTCGCCCACCGAAACGTTAATTTAAGGTTAATTCTTGATAATGTTAAGAATTAAGAATAGGGGTTGTTGTTGGGGTTTGTTTTTGGAGCTCCAGGAAGATGAATAACATTTTTTTAGGGGGTTTGGAGGTTAGGGGGATTAGGGGTTAAGGGGGGCATCTTTAATTCGCCCACCGAAACGTTAATTTAAGGTTAACTCTTGATAATGTTAAGAATTAAGAATAGGGGTTGTTGTTGTTAGGGTTTGTTTGTTGGTTAATTTGTTGTTTTTGGAGCTCCAGGAAAATGAATAACATTTTTTTAGGGGGTTTGGAGGTTAGGGGGATTAGGGGCTAAGGGGGGCATCTTTAATTCGCCCACCGAAACGTTAATTTAAGGTTAATTCTTGATAATGTTAAGAATTAAGGATAGGGGTTGTTGTTGGGGTTTGTTGGTTAATTTGTTGTTTTTTGAGCTCCAGGAAGATAAATACAATTTTTTCTCATGGGATCTTGGAGGTTAGGGGGGGATTTTGGGTTTTAAGGAGGACACCCGTAAATTCTCCAACCAAAACGTCAATTTAATGTTAATTGTTTAATGATATTAATAAATATTGTCAATTCTTCACGAATATTAACAAATATTGTTAAGAATTAACAATGTAATAACAATATTTATCAATTTAATTTATAATTTATTGTTAATTCTCAACAGTATTAGGAATTAATAATAGGATTTGTCATTAGGTTTTGTTTATTGGGTCATTTTTTGTTTTTGGAACTCCAGGAACAAGCTAAACACAATTTTTTTAAGAGTTTGAGAGACTAGAGGAGTTTTGGTCGGTTTAACAGGAGGTTTTGAGGTTTTCTAAGGTTGTTTTGACCGTTGTTTGTGTTTTGAAAAGTTTTGGATGGTTTTCATCACCGATTTTTTCTTTCAAAATAGGAATTTTGGATTTAAACGGTTCATTTATGGCATCTGGCAATTTTTATATCTTCTGAGGCATCCTCACTCACTTTGGATTTTTTTTTTCAAAGCTTGGGGTTCATCTTCAAATGTTTGGAGAGCAGTTTTTATGATTTTTATGGGCAAATAACTTCTCTCCAAATTATTCTGATTTCTCCAATTTTATCATCATCATTTTTCCATTCTTCTGAGACTCTGGAATATTTTATTATCCACCCGGAAGCCTAATTGTAATATTTAAACCTTGAACAATGAATTTTCACAATTTTAACTGAATAAATTATTTCATTTCTGATTTTTTAGATTTTAATTCGTGAATTGAACCATCTTAAGTCATAATATAATTCTTTTAGATTTATTAGGATACATTTTTCATTGTTTTTTTAAGATTTTTAAATGTTGTGAAGAATTGGCAAATGGTTTTAGAGGAAGTGGGAGGATTTTTAGAATTTTTTCTCGTCCAAAATTGACAGAAATTTTGATATTTCTCCTTATTTCAATCTTTTGTGGAATAAAAATGCCGGTTTCAACCGTGAGAACAGCTTAAGACGTTTGGATTTCATTGTCTGGTGGGGCCTGTTGGTGTATCGTAGTGTTGGATGTTAAAAAAAAGGGGAGGGGACTGGGAGAGGACAATGAGGCTCTGTCCCAAGGATTCGTGCGAAACCCAATTCCTTTGTGACATTGAATAAATTTTTCTCTCTCCTTTTCATTTTATATCTGAATATTCTGATGACTCCGATGCCTAAACCACATCCTCATCCTCAATTATGATGACTCTACAAACGTCTGGTTTTTTTCCCCAATTTTTCATTTCTATTTCTCTTGAAAAAGTGTTGAAAATCTTTTTCGATGGAAATAAAATGTTGGAAAAATTATTCTGCGTCAAGAGAGATCCTCTGGAGGTTTTTGGGGATCAATAGGAGGATTTTTTTCCCTCTGCAACAATTTTTTATTCCCCAAAATCGTGGAAAAGGCGATGGCTGGTGAAGGTGAAAGGTCAGAGTTGAGTGTCAGAGGTGGCGGAAGGTTAAAGGTGGAAATATCTCTGTTGGTGGGGGTTTTAGGGGGGAATGTCAAGAGACATTTTCTGTTGAAAATTTAATCAGCTACAAAAAATGTTCAGCGACATTTTCGCCTCCGGCCAATGGTTTACGAGATAAATAGGAATTGAGGGAAAAGGTCAGGGTTCAAAATCCTGTTAAGTTTAATTGCTTTAGTCTAGAATGTTTTTCGTATGAAAAATAAAATAAAATGAGGCATTGTCCCATGCCTGAGGGGTTTTGAATACTATTGAAGTGTGAAATGAATAAATTTTGAGGACAAAGAATTTTATTTGCTGAGAGTTACGAGAAATGATTCAGTTCTGAAACAGGAAAAACTATTTTTTTTTCATTTTATTAAAAGTGTAATTAAGTGGATAATGAGTGGTTAGAGGACACTCTGGAGACATTCTCCATGGGGAGTGTTATTACCTGTTGAAGGTCTCTTGACATTTCCTCCTAAAACCACTCATTAAAGAGGTCATTAGATAATTAGTGAAATGTTGGCTCGGCCTCATTTTATTCCGCAAATTTACGCAATCGAATTTTTTGTTGCGTTATTTTGAGATTGAGGGGGTTTAGAGGAAATGTTTTTTGTTGGGAATTTTGTCGGCTACAAAAAACATCTCTTGACATTTTGTCTCAGATCAATACCCACCGAGATAATTGACAAAACAACAAAATAAAAAAATCAATAATTTATCCTTATCTCTAAAACTATTAAAAACCTCTGTTATTTTTCCATTTATCTCGAAAACCAACGATTCCACGAGGAAACCTCACATGACCTTTTTTACAGCTGAAGAAATTTCCCACAAAAAACATCCCCTCACATTTTCTCCTAAAATCCCTGCCCACCGAGATAATCGACAAAAACTGAAAATGAAGAAAACAATTTATTCTCACTTCAAAAACAATCAAAAACCTCTCTCTAATTTTTCCATTTATCTCGAAAACCAACGATTCCACGAGGAAATCTCACATGACCTTTTTTATAGCTGAGGAAATTTCCCATAAAAAACATCCTCTGCCATTTTCTCCTAAAATCCCTGCCCACCGAGATAATCAACAAAACCCAAAAATGAAAAAATCCCAGTGTTTAAAAAACCTAAAAAAAATGTCTAAATTCCAGAAAGTCGACGACACGATGGGTCTGCCTCGGCCGGAGGACCCGCCCCACATAAAAACCGAGGAGGAGTACATAGTCTCGGACATAGATCCCGAGAGCATAAGACCGTACTACGACTGTCCGGACGACACAAACGTCTCAGCCACTGGCTCGTATAACGCCTCCCTCCTAGAAGACGAGGAGGAGTCCTCATCCTCCAGCCTAAAGCACCCCCTCGAGCCCTGGCACAACAGTTATCAGGACGAAAACCTACCCAACGACTCCCAGAAAGAGCCCAAATCCAGGGAGACACCATCCCACGATCGAAAAAGACTCAGAGAGGAATTCTCGAAATTTGGTGAGAGCATTGCAGCTCAACTCGCTGAAATCCCCGACTCCTACTCGAGATCAGTCGCCAAATTACGGATCAATCAGATCCTCTTCGAGGCTGAGATTGGCGCTTATGCCCAGGGCCATCGCTAATCACTCCACTATTAATTATTCATTTTTAATCACTTGTGAATTTCCTTTTTTTTTACTTTTTTACGATTTTTTCAAGTTCATTTCTCCATTTCTTGTGATTATTACTATTAATTAATGGGGTCATCAGTGGGTAATTGTTTGTCCTGTTATTATTATCATTATTTTAGGATATATGAGTTGATGGAGTTGTCAGGGGTTTCAGTGCAGAAATAATCTTCTTCCAGAAGAAATGGGAATTTAATTGATTTGGAAAGGAAGATAAAAGGGGAGTTGTTTAATCCTCGATATCTCCTGACCTCACGATGCGATTTGGACGAGTCGGAAGTCATTTTGAAGGGTGAAAAGATATCTTTAAGGTGAAAAAAAAATTGGCGATTTTCACTCTGCCGTTTTTGAGATGTGGAAGGTTGAAGACTGGAGGTTTTAGATTTTTGTTGAGTGGCTGGAGGGAGATTGTTTATGGGATTTTTTGGATTTTGTTGATTGGGTAATTGTGGTTGTTGTGGTTTGTTGAGTTGGAAATATGTTCTCGGAGACTTAGTTATGTGTTATGGACCCTGTGGGATTGTAGATAATGGTGTATTGGTGATGGAAGAAATTATTTATGTACGAGGAGCCTCAGCACACGATTGTACCTCTATGTAATCGTTTTATATTAAGTTCAATAAACATTCGACTTAATTAAATGCTGTTGAATATTTTTGATTATTTTCCTCAGGTTTCCACATATTTTTCCGAAATTTTGAAAAAAAAAATCCATCGTAGCTCAAAAATTGAAGGCCCCGGGCTGTTTTTGGCATTTTAAGTGTTCTCGGGCAAACGAACAATAAAAAATTTTTTTTTTTTGCACTGATTATTCGTTTTCAGATCTATATAATCGATCTTCAACGTATGAAAAGTCTCGCTCCAATAACCCACGACTTTTAAAACTCATAGTAGTCTCCCCTTAATTTAATTAAAATTCTATTAGTCAATTTAATTAATCCCAAGTTTTTTTAACGGAATCATTAGCAGAGAAAAAACTAAATAATCGTAATCAAAGAATCAAAATAAATGTGGAAAAAAATTATTATAATTGAAATTGTTTTTTTAAATATTCTTTTAATTAATTGGGGGTCCAATTTTACTTTCAACGCCATTTTCACCATTTTTTCTCCAAGGAGAGAGGGTTGACCTTGAACTGGAGACCTCGAGAGCCCCTGGAAGGTACTCGGTGACCCTGGAGGGTCTCCACGACTGCAGGAATTTGATTTTTGAATCGACTTTGACGTACGAGAACGCGGAATTCCGTGAAGAGGTGATAAGGACCCCCCCGGATTATCCGGAGCTGCCGGAGGTGCTCCAGGGTCACGACTGCGAGACCCTGGGGGCCGGGACCCTCTGTCTCATGGACATGAAGGGCCAGGGGGTCCAGGGGGGCGCGAGGGAGACCTTCTTCGTTGATTTCGATGAGGTGTTTTACGACATCGACGACCAGGAGACCGATTACAAATTCAATATCTACGGGCACACCTACTATCCTGCGTACTTGAGTGAGTCAAATGCGCTCGCGATTATTTTTTCGTTTTTTTTTTCACACGGAGAGCATATTCTGTAAAAATTACGGAACTGAGAATTCGCTCACCGATTACGGAATCGAATCAGAAAATTTCAAGTAGCTCTACTCTTCGGCCGGGCTACGCTGTACTTTTGGATATTTTCAGTTTTTTAATTTTTCAACTAAATTGCATGGAAAAAATTTGAAGCAATTCATACCCAGTCAGTATCTGAATGAAATTTCGCAAAATATTGGTATTTTTTCAGACATTTCCCTCTTATAAATAAATAATAAAACTTGTTTGCAAAACGGTGGATTATTTTTTATGAGGGGTCAAAAAAATTCTTGATTTTTTCACATCTAGTGAAAAAACAATCAGATTTTAATCTTTGATTACAATGGAAATGTTGATTTTTAAACATTTCTTCTTTGAAAAACCAAAACGATGATTAAATTGAGAAAAAAATTAGAATTCCGAATCTAATCGAGTTTTCTGCAATTTTTTTGCAGTTTTCAATAATCTTTGAATTTACCGTAAGGGTAGAGCTACTTTAAGTGACGGTGTCGTAATGTTTCACAGGAGATTCAGATAAAAATTACGGAATGCTCTGGAAAAATTTCGTGACAGTTCCGTAAAATTTCTTACAACCGCATTTCGCTCCGGAATTACGGAAAGGATACGTAATTTTTATTGAATATTTCTCACCGTGTAGTCGAAAATCAGTTTTAGAGCCTGTCAAAGATTTTGATTTCTGTTTCATACATTTTTGGGGATATTTGTGGCAGGTGTCAGCCCTGGAGGGACTCATATCCCTCAAATTAGTGGGGTGACCTTCAAATATCCCCCCTCGCCGATTTTATCGCAACCGGAAGCGGTTTCTGAGGATATCCTCTGCGATTTGGAGTATAAATCGAGGGAATGCAGTGATAGACCTTTATTTTGCGAGTGTCTGCAGATACTCGATGTTCCAACCATGGAAAATATCGATATCGTTTTGATTAATGAAGGTATGGATCAAAAAATCCTCAAATTGAAAGAAATATTTTTTTTATTTGAAAAAGAATTAAAAAATGACGAAAAAATTATTATTAAAACATTTTTTTATAAAAAATTATAATTTTCAAATAATTTTAATTATTTTGAAAAATAATTAAACAAAATTATTTAGTAAAAAGATGTTTGCAAAAGTTTTTTTTACTAAATAATGAGTTAAAACGTAGAAAAAAAATATTGGGAAATCGCTTCCTCATTAATTACATCGAAAATTTATGTTTAAACCTCTCGAGAACATGTCTACCCCAAAAATTTAGTTTTGAACCCAAAAAATCCTGAAAACCCAAGACTAATGTTTTTTAATTGAAATTTCTCCTCCAAAAAATGGAAAAAAATCATATACAAAATTGATTTCTGTATTCAACGCAGTGGAAAGTATATTTCCAACCTTCGCAAGTAAAAATTTGAATACAAAAATCCCCAAAAAGTAGAAAATAAAACAAATTTTTTTTATTCCTCGGGAAAAAATGAAAAAAAAATCGTAAAATTTTTTTTGGATCTATTACATCAAGAAATGAATATCCAGTCCCTCCCGATGAAATTCTCGCCCTAAAAAAAATACTACAAAAAAAAATCTTGAAAAATAAAAAACAAATACTTTTTTTTCAAAAATCCACTGAAAAAAAAATTAAAAAATCATTCTAAATAATTCTGTTCGCATGTTCTGCATCGAGAAACATGTCTCCAATCCCTTGTAAAATATTTTCAAACTCAAAAAAATATCCTAACAAAAAAATCCCTAGAAATGCAATTTTTTCTAGGCAAAGGTGGCAACCGTAGTTTCGTGTTCCATTTGCACGGCTACTCGGCGGCCATTTTGTCGTGGAAAAAATTCGACCGTCCAATCAACAAGTCGGAGATAATGTCCCTGGAGGCCTCGGGAAAATTGCCCCGCAATTTGGCTACTCCAGTGAAAAAGGACACATTCGTAGTCCCGAGCAAAGGGTACGTGATCCTCCGCCTGTTTACCGACAGTCGCGGTTACTGGCTGTGGGAATCCCGGGCGACCGGTGTCTCCCCGGGTACAAGAGGTCCCGGCATGCAATTCCTGATGCGGGTGGGGACGAGAGAGAGCTTGCCGACAGTTCCCCTGGACTTTCCAACCTGCGGTAATCACAAGGGGCCCGATTTGATTTTCGATAACGAAAATTAATGCCTTTTTCAATGCAAATTGTTACAAGTTTTGGACTTAATTATTATATTTATTAACTATTTATGAAGTTGAATGTGAATTGAAAAAAGATAATAAATTATTAAATTGAATACTGAGGCGTTTTCATTTGGCAAAAAGTCCATTCTATTTTTTCATTTTTATTTATAAGCGCTGATCAATTAAATGAAATTAAATTGAATTTGTTTATTATTAATTTTTTATTCAATTTTCCGAAGCGAAGAGCGTTAGCGAATTCCAATACAAAATCGTCAGATCACTGAAGTAAATTAATAATTCGAAGATATCATCTGAGAGTTATTCGCATAATTTGTAATTTCGAAATGGAATGCTGCAGTTACTCTGCCAATCGTTAATCTGCGAGTAAAAATGTGAGAATGCCTTTTTAACATTGTAACCACCCATTTAACAATTTCCGAATAATTTTCTGGCAAATGTAATTCGTGGTTGCCCTCCCTTGCAGTGAATACCAGCCAATAAAATTCCAATAACGAAGTAAAAATTCCCAAATCATAAAAGCATAATCTCGCTCTAACGAAATGCAATCGAACGCTGCGATCTCCGCAGCGCAGTGTCTGCTGATGCGAGAACCATGAGGAGTTGAGGAAAAATTGGCAAAAGTTTGTTGATACCCAGCCAAATGTTTTCTCCTATCCCCGGGTGTAAAACCGCCATTTTATATCTCTCTATATGAATAAAAAAATGAGGTGAAAAATTCAGGGGGCGCGGGTGCCTATACGGGGATTCCTCTATGGGGAGGTGCCTGTATTTATAAGGGATGTTTACATGAGGGGGTGCTCATATGGAAGATATTTATGGGTACGGTCACACCGCTGCGGTCACACGGATGGGGGGAAGGGGGGAGCGAGCGAAGCGAGCGGGAGGCGGCTAAGCCCCCCCCCCGGATTGGCGAGCGGAGCGACCAGGGGGCGGAGTCCCTTAGTTCCAAATAATTGAAATGACTCGTCCATTGTTGAAGTTAGTAATTTATAAACTCAGTCGAACATCTGTCGTGAAATTATCTCCTCCCGATGGATGATACATGGAGCAACCCATAAATGCCATCATCGGTGACAAATTTTTACACTACTTCACTGCATTCGCCATTCACAGGTGGTGTCGGTTGGATATTCACAAGTAGTTGCGCCCATCAATTCAGCCCGCAACAATAGAGTGCATTCGCGAATAAAAATAACGATGTGANCCCCCCCCCGGATTGGCGAGCGGAGCGAGCAGGGGGCGGAGTCCCTTAGTTCCAAATAATTGAAATGACTCGTCCATTGTTGAAGTTAGTAATTTATAAACTCAGTCGAACATCTGTCGTGAAATTATCTCCTCCCGATGGATGATACATGGAGCAACCCATAAATGCCATCATCGGTGACAAATTTTTACACTACTTCACTGCATTCGCCATTCACAGGTGGTGTCGGTTGGATATTCACAAGTAGTTGCGCCCATCAATTCAGCCCGCAACAATAGAGTGCATTCGCGAATAAAAATAACGATGTGATCAATTATTTTTTATCGAGTACCAAAGTGTCATTCGAAATGCCATGGGATTAAAAATTAATCCATTCCAAAAAGACGATCCGCTCTGCCCCGACACAAACTTGATAATTTTTTGTGAAATTAGAATAGAATACTTGATTGATGCTACTGTCACAGTTTTACATCTTCACAAGCCAAAGAAACATATCTGCAATAGCACTCCGCAAAATTTTTTTTACAACAATAATGTATTGTAACTAATGATACACGGAAAAAAAACTTGAATTGAGTATAAAATATACATGAATCAATTATATTTTATACTCGAATCGAGTATATTGTATACTTGATTCAAGAATATTATATATTTTATATATAATATAAAATATTACATATTTTATGAAGTTATAATTTACAATAACACAAAAGTTAAATTTTTTTAAAATTTCGAATTGCAAAAAATCTGTTTTTCGAATTTTCATTTTTTTAAATTATTATTTATCGGGGCAAAACGGGTTTACTTTTTTATATGCATGAGACTTTTGCGATCTAGGCAATGGCGTTTTCATCGACCCCAATTATTCAAAATTCCGATAATGAAAATTTAAAAAAAAAATTGAAATTTATAGTCTGATTATTCTATTTTCCCGAAAATGTCACAGTTGTCCGCAGTTTCAAGTATTCTACACGAGGGATATAAACTTTTCGGGTGAATTAGTGATGCACCCAACGTGAAAAGTTACAACCATCCCACGGTTAAACGTGGTGCAGGGCATGACATGGCTCGCGTGGCTCAACGGCGTTATCCCAGTTGAAACTTTTTGGAAGCTCAATGGGCGGCGGGTGGGCGACCGGGGAAGGGCGGAGGGGTGGAATAAAGGGCTAGGGCCACCGCGACGTCTCGAAAACTCTCGGCCCCGTGTGCCGAATCCGGGAATAGGCATTTCAATATTACGTAATACCCAGAATTTTTCATTCCTCGATTAACAAAATATTTCATCGATTTGGTTTTTCATTAAATTTGGGGGAATTCGGGCGCTCGAATAATCCAGATTAAATTTTAGTTCTCAATTGAAATTGCGGACACCGGAAAAAAAATGATGAAAAAATGTTGTTTTATCAAATTGATCGAAGAGAAAAAAAATAATTCTGAGGTTTGAATTCACTGGAAATGAAATTCTCGTTCGAAAAAATTATTTTCCAGCGAAATTTACGAACTTCTGTTACGCACAAGCGTTCGAACATTGATTTCAACTTGTGAAAGGAGTGCGAGGAGTGAAAACATGAAAGTTAGTGGCGAAAAAGAATGCCATCGACGGAAAAAATAAAATAAAAATGAAAAGCACATTGTCTGGGTACTTCATGCATATCTGAGCACATCCGTTGAAGTATGAAGTCCTCCAACAGCTGTAAATGGAGGAGAACTCGGGGGAATCGATGGTGTGATGATCGCAGAGTGTCAGAAGAGAATAAAAACCCCAAAAAATTGAAAAAAAAGTAGAACAAAAAATTCTGGGAAAAATGGAAAATATCGCGGGGTGAATTGTCCGCATCCATTTGCATCGGGTTCCTCCCACCGCCCCCCGACGAAGCCATCAGCCCTGGGGAGTTCAATAAAAAACATTTAAAAATCCGGAAAAAATTGTTTATGTCAAATTTCTTAATTAAAAAACTCCATCGAATTAATTTCAATTAACAGTAAAAGTATCGATGAAATTGTTTTTCGCGCTCCACAGGCCGTCAGACAATTCAATAAAAAGCTGGTGAACAACCAAAAACAATAATGAAAAGAGTAAAAATGGCAAAATGTGCTTTTTTTTCTCTCAACTCATTTATTTTTTATAATAAAAATAATCCATTTGCATGACTTCATTAAAAAAACATTTTTCGTTTTGAAGCTATACAAATCCGACATCGTTCCGCAAATTGACATTCAAGATTTTTAAGCTCCTGTGTATCCAAACTGATCCATAAAAATAAGACCTTAAAAAAAAAACGAAAAGCCATTCGTATTTATTCACTTCGAATGCCTAAACCCGATGGTACATACACTTTTCTCATCAGAAACAAGACATTTCTGCCCTCCGAGGCGCAATAAGAGCGCGAATTACCGTACGATAATCATATGATCAGGTAAATGGTGCATGTTACGATTTTGATGGTTAAAAATCCCACGTTAAGCTCCAGGTAAGTTCATTCACCCTTCATTCAGCCCAAGTATAACTCTTAGTCTGCATTACACGCTTTTATGTCTTCTTTTTTTGTCCCTTGCATCCAATGCCGGAAGAGTTGAGGTACTTTTACCGTCCACTTTTTCCATCGGCAGGGCCCTCCACTTTTCCCCACACTTCCCGCCCCCCCCGCGCCGCGGTTTTTCATCCTTTTTTGCTCGCCCACTGACGTAAAAAGTGGAGTTCGTTCGCTTTTCATCTACCGATGTCGCGTGGATTTTTCACCTACACTTTCGGTGGTGTATACATTATTCTGGCAGTGAGAAGCCATCTTTTGAGAGGAACAAAAGCCATTAAACAGAGAATGCGTTGGCTTTTGTAGTTTTTTCAAAAGATGGAAACCAACCCTCAGGGATTTCTCTACTGGATGGGACAATGGGATACATTTTCGGTTGTCGTGTGGGTATGGGATTTTTTTAAGAGGATCTAAAGCTCTTTGAGGGCTTGAAATATTGCATGAAATTCCAAATTTAATTTACTATTCTCTTTGAATTAACAATCCTCTTAGGGGAAAATTGATATCAACTTCGATGACTGGGTTCTTCGGAGTGGCGATAGAAGTCAAACATATTTTTCCTCCGAGAAACTAAAAAAAAATCGGAAAAGGAAAAGACGGTAGAGGCTTGCGCTAAGTACGCGTCTAGTCGCTGCACCAGAATCGATAATTTTTTTCTTTTATTCGTCGAACCTTGTCCGGAATTATTTCCATCATCTGCTGATGTAAATTATTCCAGAGAAATCCTCGGAACAACAGAAAAAAAATCGGAAAAGGAAAACGCGGTAGAGGCTTGCGCCAAGTACGCGTCTAGTCACTACACCAGAATCGATAATTTTTTTCTTTTATTCGTCGAACTTTGTCAGGAATTATTTCCTCCATCTGCTGATATAAATTATTCCAGAAAAATCCTCGGAAGAATTGAAAAAAATCGGAAAAGGAAAACGCGGTAGAGGCTTGCGCCAAGTACGCGTCTAGTCGCTACACCAGAATCGATAATTTTTTTCTTTTATTCGTCGAACTTTGTCAGGAATTATTTCCTCCATCTGCTGATATAAATTATTCCAAGGAAATCCTCGGAAGAATTAAAAAAAATCTGAAAAGGAAAACGCGGTAGAGACTCGCGCAAGTTCCTGTCTGTTCACCTGCCTAAAATAGAACCTCCAAAAATATCCCGTTGGACCTACCTTGCTCCACAACTGCCTGGGAAGCATCCAAGAGAATTTATTTTGGAAACATGCGGTAGAGACATTCATTAGTTAGAGACATTTCATTATTTAGAGCCATACA